CAGCAGCACAAAGCAGCAGCACAAAGCAGCAGCACAAAGCAGCAGCACAAAGCAGCAGCACAAAGCAGCAGCACAAAGCAGCAGCACAAAGCAGCAGCACAAAGCAGCAAGCAAGCAGCAAGCAAGCAGCAACTAGCGTTTGCCCCCTTGAAAGAATGATCAAATATAAGTTCTAAAAATCAACGCAATACACAAATTAAACTTTTTCCAGGCGCACGGCCCCAAAACAATGAAATCGTTCAATTACTAAAAGTTGTGGTGATGCCAAACTTGAACTTTTTCCAGGCGCACGGCCTCCCAATACCACTTTTACAAGCTGATACGACTTAACCCTAGCGCTTGCAACTATCAATATCAATGACAAATCATCACAGATCTATATAGATCTATGGCGTCATTTTTTTGCACTCTCCACGCTGGGTGTAAAGAACATGGTTGGCATCGTCGAGGCATGCTCGGGCAGCACAGTTGGCGATATCACAAACTGCTCCTCGGCCGCCTCCTGCAGTTTCCGCAGAAGAGGAAGTCATCTGCAAAGGGGAACCCTCCAGGAAAAAAAACATGGCTGATCACTTACACTTCGAAGCTTACATAATCAGTTGACATCAGTTGACCTATTGCTGGGACAGCATGAAGAAATGCTGAATTCATCTCAGAACCAGTAGGAGTCAGTGCTGAAATTCTCTCAATGCCAAGTCTAGGAGGCACAGGCTCCACTATTGCCATTCGACAGATCTCAACCCTCAATGTTTGCGCGCTCCTCGCATCACGCATTTGACCGCAGCATGGACCATCATTCCGCGCACGACAATGTCAGGTACATGCAATAGGCCAGAAGTCTTCATGGCAGCTTCCAGTATGGACTCGTCTATCGCCGACTCATCTGAGATGCTGCTTGCTGATAATGAATGGTACTCCGGCAGGATCTTCTCAAGGTTGCTGCAGGCTTTATCTGATACTTCTTCCAAGTAGGAGAAGTTCATGAGTGCCCGTCGGTCCGGATGGTCTGAAGGAAAATACCAACCATTTACAAAGCAGTACGCGTCATCCAGGGGAAAATCATGATCGCGAGTTCTTAAAGTGCGACCGTCAGAAAATGTGAGGGTCACAGGTGATGCCGTGTCGCGGTTCATTCGATCCGCCAAATCACTTTCATACCTTTCGCCCAGGATTCTGCTGCGTTGCAGGTCAACAAGAAGCCAAAAAAACTACAGACCAGAGGGTTCAAGCTGCAGGTTATCAAAAGCAAAACCGAAAATTGGGATGTCAAAATTTCTAGTCAAGATATGTCCAGACCATTCCCCGGCTTGACTAGTCTGTGGCGGGTCCGGTGGGGACCACTGCGATCTATAGAGCTTGCAGCTGATGTCCGGCGGGGATTACTTTGATCCAGAGGTTGCTGTTCGGGTCTGGCGGGGAGCTCTGAGATCTAGAGCTTGCAGTTGAGGTCCGCCGGAGGAGGCGGAAGAAGAGGAGGAGGCGGAGGCGGGACAGCTGACATAAAATCTAGCCACCCTCACTTGACAGGTGGGGGAAAAACACAGACCATAGGCTTCAAGCGGTTGTCAAAAGCAATGCCGAAAATTGGGAGGTCGAAATTTCTAATTAGTCCAGATCATCCCTTTTAACTAGTCACTAAGTCTGTGGCAAGCAACTGCTGGATATAGGGAATGATATCGCGGCTCTTTCGACTGATCGAACAATTGCTGGACCATCCTCCCATGGACCCCAAGAGGCACCAACCATCTTCGCCATAGTGTTGAATGATCTCTTCCAGGGGTCGAATCCAGGCCTGTTTTAAGGGTCAAAACAGTCAAACGGAAATCGCTGGGATTTATGGATGTGAATAACCTCTCCAAATATGGAAAAATTGGTCTTGATCTCTCCCCGCCACTTGATGTATCTTGACTTGATGTCTACAAATCGACTCCCCTCGAGTTGACAAATTCCAGCCACCTGTCCCGCCGGCATCTGTCCTCCGGAACCCCCTTTGCGTCCGGTTCGACTTGGGACAAGCAAATGCCGGCTTTTCTTGAAGCAGGATCAGTCAGGGGTTGAAGTGCTGTCACTGGCCGACTCGTCAGGTTCTGGTTTCCTTTCTTTCTGCGAGCCTCACTTGATGTTTGTAGCAAGTGGCAGCCGCGGTCAGCCTGTCAACGCGTGGCAAGACCAGAAGACACCAGAAGGTCTGAAGACTAAGCCAGTATGCATGCATGCATGTACGTATGGATGTATTTATGATGGATGGATGGATGGATGGATGGATGGATGGATGGATGCGTTAAGAACAATGTCACAATTGAAACAGTGAAACTTTTACAGGATGGATGGATGGATGGATGGATGGATGGATGGATGGATGGGCGGATGAATGGATAGATGTGTATCTCTGTGTCTATGTCTATGTCTCTGTGATGGGTATGTGTACGTGTATGTATATGTGTGTCTGTGTGTATGTGTGAATGTGTGTATGTGTGTATGTATATATATATAATATTATATCTATATTGCAAACAAACCTGGAACACTGGATGATTAAGGTTCAACTACCCTGTACTCGAAGGTGCCTGACGCAGACTAAGCTTTCATACAAAGTCAATTGCATTCTCTCGATTCATCCTCACAGCCCATATGCATGCACTGGCCTTCAGGCTCTGGCACATGCTTACAAACATGTGTCTAATGCCAATGAAATCTAAGTGCCGCTCAAGTTGTCATTCAAGCATCAGAGCCCCTTTTTCGGAAACAGAAGGCATAATTCTTCGGGGACCAAAACTCTCACTTAAGGTATGGGAGCTTTACTGTAGAATTAATCTGTGAACCGGATTCTAGTTTCTGAAGTTTCATTAATGGCTGCTGCAATGAAGACCTGGAATCGGGGGCCTTCAATTTTGACCGACAAGGACTTGGTTTGTACTGGAAGGCCATTTTTAAGCTGGGGGTCGATTCAATTCATCAACCTGCAAAAAGATGTAGATGCATATAATATAATTAAATATATATATATATGCAGAGATACTCAATGACCCTAGCAACGCCAGAAGTCTTAAGTTGGAATCGACGTAACACGTCCACATCAATTGGAATCTCAGCATCTCAGCTGCCAGTGACCACCCGCCTCATCGGACTGATCTGCTAACGACAAGCCTAAAAATATCAATAAAAGGAGGGTCATGGCTGTGGGATTTCAGCTAGGCAAGCAATGAGCCAAAAGGACTGGGAGTTTTATTGCCGTGCCTGCGACTGAAGCGAGCGCTAGCACGCTAGTGAGGTTCCGGATTGATGCCAATGTGTGTGTGTGTGTGTCACTAAATCCCGAAGACATGGGCAATCCTTTTGCCGTATTTGTCACAACCATACAAACATTCAAAGAACAAATGTCTTTTTGGGGGTTCCCCGCCAAAATTTTGAGATGAACCCAAATACTCCCACATATCATACCAAGCTGGTCGTGTATCCCATGATTTCACCGTTATCTCCGCATAAACCCGCATCTGATGCGTCCTCTTTGGTCCCTTTGTTGGGCCAGCCGCAGCGGGCGGAGCGGTTTCTTCGCTCCTGCGACCAAAGGACTGGCAAATGGCTGGTCATGTTTGGTCTCACATGTATGTATGTATACGTATTTGTAATATATATATATATATGTGTGTGTGTATGTATATATATATATACATAAATATGTGCGTATAAATATATATATATGTGTGTGTATATATATATGTGTATATATATATGTGTGTGTGTGTATCAACATATGTCAAGACGTAAATACATATGTGTGTGTATCAATATTTGTATGTATATATATATACATGTGTGTATGTATTTGTATCTATATCTGTATATATATATATATATATATATATTATGTGTATATATATATATATGTATATATATGTATATATATATATATATATGTATATATATATGCGTATATATGTATATCTGTAAATATATCTGAATATATATATATATATACATGTGTGTATATGTAAATATGTATATATATATGTGTGTATATGTATATATATATATATGTGTATGTATGTCTATATTTGAATAACTATATATATACATATATGTATCTCTATACATATATGTAAATAAATATATATATATATATATATGTACATATATATATATGTACATGATTATGTATGTGTGTAATGTATGTAATGTATGTAATGTATGTAATGTATGTAATGTATGTAATGTATGTAATGTATGCAATGTATATAATGTATGTAATGTATGTACTGTATGTAATGTATGTAATGTATGTATGTATGTAATGTATGTAATGTATGTAATGTATGTATGTATGTATGTATGTATGTAGGTATGTATGTATGTATGTATGTATGTATGGACGGACGGACGGATGGATGGATGGATGCATGCCTATATGCCTGTATGTCTGTATGTCTGTATGTCTGTTTGCCTGTATGTCTGCACATCTGCACGTCTGCACGTCTGCACGTCTGCACGTCTGCACGTCTGCACGTCTGCACGTCTGCACGTCTGCACGTCTGCACGTCTGCACGTCTGCACGTCTGCACGTCTGGATGTATGCATGCATGCATGCATGCATGCATGTAACATATGTATGTAACATATGTATGCATGTAACATATGTATGTAGGTAACATAAGTATGTATGTGGCAAATGTATGTATGTAACATATGTATGTATGTAACGTAGGTACGTAGGTACGTAGGTATGTAGGTACGTAGGTACGTAGGCACGTAAGTATGTAGGTATGTATGTATGCAACATATGCATGTATGCAACATATGTATGTATGCAACATATGCATGTATGCAACATATGTATGTATGCAACATATGTATGTATGCAACATATGTATGTATGCAACATATGTATGTATGCAACATATGTATGTATGTATGTATGTATGTATGTATGTATGCGTGCATGCATGCATGTATGTATGTGTATGTATGTATGTATGTATGTATGTATGTAACATATGTATGTATGTATGTATGTATGTATGTAACATATGTATGTATGTATGTATGTATGTATGTATGTAACATATGTACGTATGCAACATATGTACGTATGCAACATATGTATGTATGTAACATATGTCTGTATGTAACATATGTATGTATGTAACATATGTATGTATGTAACATGTGTATGTATGTAACATATGTATGTATGTAACATATGTCTGTATGTAACATATGTATGTATGTAACATATGTATGTATGTAACATGTGTATGTATGTAACATATGTATGTATGTAACATATGTATGTATGTAACATATGTATGTATGTAACATATGTATGTATGTAACATATGTATGTATGTAACATATGCATGTATGTAACATATGTATGTATGTAACATATGTATGTATGTAGCATGTATGTATGTAACATATGTATGTATGTAACATATGTATGTATTTATGTATCTATGTATGTAACATATGTATTTATGTATGTATGTACGTACGTATGTATGTATGTATGTGTGTATGTATGCAACATATGTATGTATGCAACATATGTATGTATGTAACATATGTACGTATGCAACATATGTATGTATGCAACATAAGTATGTATGCAACATATGCATGTATGCAACATATGTATGTATGCAACATATGTATGTATGCAACATATGTATGTATGCAACATATGTATATATGTATGTATGTATGTATGTATGTAACATATGTATGTAACATATGTATGTAACATATGTATGTATGTATGTGTATATCCGCCGACCTGCCGACAGCAAGGGGGAGCACGTTAGAGAAGAGATTACAAGCAGCAGCGGGCTGAAAGCCCAATCAAGAGGCCAAGGAGCAAGGGCTATCAGAGTGGATGCAGAAAGCAACGTTGGGCACGACCAGCTGCAGGCCGAACGCGATCCGTCCTTCTCTGGCACGCTTGTTCAGTGTGGCGGGCGGGTCCATTTTGGAAGCCTGGGAAATCATTTTTGGAGCTATTTCTTGTGGATTCAGAAAGCAACGTTCGGCATGAGCAGCTGCAGGCGCCATTCGTCCTTCACTGGCATGGTGCTTCAATGTGGCGGAGGGGTGCCTTTTTTGGAAGGCTGGGAAATTATTTTGGAACTAGTTTCTTGTGCGTGAAGCACGACCAGCTGCAGGCCTGAGGGGTCCGTGCCTCTGCTCGAAGCCCCTGTTCGGGAGTTAATACAGGGACCCGACAAAGTCATGCCTAAGTCACTCCTTTCGCTTTCCCCGCTTGTGAACGCAACATCAAGAAGCCACGCCTAAGTCATGCCTTTTGGTCTCCCATTGTGAACGCAAGCGTCAAAATAGCCCTTTCCAAATCGGAACCTTTCACTTTCGCTTCTTTTTTTCCTCCCTGCCCTTGCGATTCAATATGTCTTATTTGCCCACTTTCTGCCCCAAACAGGTTTATCTGTATGGGGTTCTCAGTAATAATTCTGTAAATAGATACCGGGTATTTTTGGTCCCATTACACAGAAAGAGGCCAAGGCAGTTTGTAAGTTCTTACTCCTTTGAAAGGGTTGCAGCCCTGGGTCGCATTATTTTGCTTCTGTCTCCGGGCTTGCATTCCTGGCGTGCTCTCCGACTACGGTCTGGGTGCTCTTGGCCGCAAGGTTATACAATGTTATACACTTCTCTCCCACTTGTCCCCACTTGTGTCCCACTTGTCTCCTACTCACCTGCATGTTGCATGATGTGCCTGATGTGTCTCAACAGCACCCAGCAGCACTGGACAAGCAGAGACAAGAAACAACGACCAAGCAAAGAGAGAGACCAGCTGCAGCAAACATCCACCAGCAGCACCTGCCCAAAGAAGAGAGCAAGAGGAAGGCAAGAGCACCAACCACAGATACCAAAGAGCAACCAAAGAAGGGCAGGGAAGGGGAAAGGACCAGGAAATCTAAGCCTGGAAAAACGAAATCAAAAACGAGATCAAAACGAGATGCAAACGAGATCCGAGCCCTGGCAGCAGCAAACTCCCGGAAAGTAAAATCGGAAGGTTGGATCACATGAAGGAGAAACCTACAGGCAAAATATTGCGCACACTGAGGCATCGCGCTTTGACGCAGCACAAGCAGGCAGAAGCCAGCAGCAGCAGCAGCAGCAACAGCAGCAGCAGCAACAGCAGCAGCAGCAGCAGCCAGAACCTAGGAGCAGCAGGCAGAACCCAGAAGCACAAGGAAGCAACCAAGCACAAGTAGGCAGGACACGCCAGGCAAAACCCAGCACAAGCGTGCAGAACCCAGAACCCAGCAGCAGCAGGCAGCAGCAGGCAGCAGCAGGCAGCAGCAGGCAGCAGCAGGCAGCAGCAGGCAGAACACAGCAACAGCAGGCAGAACACAGCAACAGCAGGCAGAACCCAGCAGCAGCACGCAGAACCCAGCAGCAGCACGCAGAACCCAGCGCAAGCGGGCAGAACCGAGCACAAGCAGGCAGATTCCAGCAGGCACAGATTCCAACAGCAGGGGACAGAACCATACAGAACCTAAATATGATAAGTTTCAATGGGCACGCCTCTCACCGAACTATTGACAATGGCATCACCATAAAGATTGCAATCAATACCATACAGGGTTAAATAGAATCATGTCAACAATACACTGCCCACAGCGATGAAACAGTATTCAAACCAACAGCCAGTCAAATAAAGAAAAGAACTGTCAAAATCTAAACGAAACACTGCGCGCACGCAGGTGTGATACGACTTCAGGTCACTTGGTACGACATAAGCCTAGCGGCTAGCTGTAGTAGTTCAGAAGCAATCCAGCAGCAGTTTGGCAGTAGTCAGCGGCAGCAACTGAGCAACAGCCAGCAATTGAGCAGCAGTTTAACAGTAGTTGCTAAATACAGTTTAATACAGCCAGTACAGAAGTCATAAGAAAGCAGCTGCAACACTAGACTAGATTACATTACATTACATTACATTGCATACGCACACATGTAAATATAGAGATAGGGAGGGAGGGACGGAGGGTGGGAGCGCGTGAGAGAAAGTGAGAGAGAGCGAGAGCGAGAGAGGGGGAGAGAGAGAGAGAGAGCGAAAGAGAGAGAGACAGTGAGAGAGAGCGAGAGAGAGAGAGAGAGAGTAAGCAGCCCAGTGTTTGGAGTAAACATCTTGAGCCACAACTAAATTCTGATCCCATTCGAGAGCCATGTCCCTAAGTCTCTGGTGAAGTAGTATCCAAACACAACCAAAGGTTGCATTCCAAGACATGGTTGTGCTGATGCTAGTCGAGTAAGCATCTAGCAGGGCATGTTCGCTACAGCATGCTTTCATTCGTGTGGCAAAAGTTGAGCCGGCGCAAGGTCTTGCACAAAAAAATGGCATACCAAAAATTATGTCACGTAGCTTTGGACTCGTATCTCTAGCATATACTGTACACGTTCTGTTCGTTGAAAACCACCTGCGATCGGGGAAAGCGATTTGGGTTGTCCGTTCAAATGGATTGCGCCAGGGCTCTTTGCGGTGGTCGTGTCAGGTCCTCTGTACTCGCGGCAACTGCGGTTCAAATTGCATTTAAAATTTTAAGTAA